ATTTTTTTGCAATCAAGGCGGGCTTCGACGCACATCCCTTGCTCCCCCCTAACGTCTACCACATTCCGATGGCAAAAAAGATGACCGGAGGTAGACGTAAATCCGGTGACGGGCTGCTAGATGGCCTATCACCAGGTATAACACGTAATCCGGTCCCAAATTACACTCAAACCGGGCCTCAAAAAGCAGGCCGGGATTTTAGATTGGCGAATGTCAAAAAGTCACGTTTAGACTACACTACAGTCTGACCATCAGTTTCAATTGGAACCGGGTTGTCACGTCAGGTTAGGTTCCAAGTCACGACTGTTAGCATGTAGTTATAGATTAGAAGAATGTTTAGTTGGTCATAGTGAGGGATTTAAGCGCTATATCGAAGCTGTTCCGACCCTTCCTACACACCAGCAACCTATAAACGTATAGACGAATCGGAATGAGATCGGGTGCAGCGATTGGCGTATTCACACCGATAGTTCGACCGTCGTTGCCGGCGATGTCAACCGTGTGCTCCGCAACAGGGTGAGAGCAGGCATGGTGGCATGCGCGTGAATTATTCTACAGTGGGAGTATGCTTGCACAGCATCTACCGCACTCTCTCCTCCCCCACCGGATCCCGGTGTCCAGACCAAATCAAGAGGACCGGAGGCAGACTGCGCGAACTGAATCGGGGCGTCGGTTGGCTGCCTTCCGAGACACGACTTTAGACACTCCGTCTTCGGTTCAGATTCCGACCTCACATGCAGCAAGGGAGCCGCATGGTGAAGGGGCCGAGATGCGCACTTCCCGCTTGCGCTGGAGGTGTCAGTTGGGTGCCTACGGTGGGTGTTGATGTGCGGTGAGATGCTGTCAAGGGAGGATGTGATGAGGTGGTTTGACTGGCGGTTGTCTTCCGCAGATTTTCGTGGACGCAAGCGTTTTGACAGAATTGTATGACCAATAAAACCTACTTCACATCGGCAAGTACAAGAAAAAAGGTTTAGGCACGGGAATATAGACGTCTGCATTACAGGTGGTCTTGGCCTAAATTCTAGATTTATATAAAGGTTACTGTTATGTGCGTGTTATGAGGCCTTAAAACCAACCAACTTTTATTCTTTCAGGTCCTTATGGAAGTATTTAGAAGCCTATTTGGTGAGCACACGTCTGCTTTTGATAAGTTCTCATTGTGCCTGTGGGTTTGCATGGCGACCAGTTTCAGTAAGACATGTTGATTGTTAGAGACCAAAGTCTATGCTCATTTTTCCCCCAAATATATTTAGTTAGATGGATAAATAGACAAATAGGAAAATAAAGGCAGATAGATGGTGCTGCAATGCGCTCTTCTTTCGGTCCTCTTTTAACACATGCATCTGAAGGTAGCTTGGAGAAATTTTACCTTAACATACCTATCAATAGACTGGTGCGTCATCGCAACTATGCGGATGACGTTTTTGCAATTACAGTTGCATAACCAATTATAACTGCCCTATTTGACGCTGCAAATCAGTCAATTTTGTTGATCAATTTTACGTCGCGGGTGGAAGTGGCAGAGTCACTCCTTTTTATTGGAGGTCCTGCCAAGCAGCTGATATTAAAGAAACGTCCGTCAGCAGAGATTCAGTCTCACAAACGTAACCGTTTCCTAAGTGTATTTCCCAGGGTTGAAGCACACTGCGGCACGCCATCAAGCAAAACACTGAAGGACGCTATCATCAGAACCTCTTCACAGCTAATGGGTATTCTAACGAATTTTCAAGAAAAGCCGGCGCCGAGCGTACAGACGCCGGACAAATGAGCGGAAATACGAAGTTTGGAGGGCAGTTTGTTGCAGTGCGGTATCTCGACTGCTAACGCCTCCCACCTTCCCCCCAAAGTAGGCATAATCCATTGACGCCAAGCAACAATTCGGCGCCGTTTAATGCAACCTAAGGACGCGCCGCCACCACTAAAACCCCAGAATTTGCCCAAAAATACGTTGCAAAGATGGTGACTGCGACTACGTTGTGGAAACCGGGCAGAAATTACGGGGCCGCTCGGAAACTAGACACAAGCTTCCAATTTGCAACGCACGTTGGAGAGACTGGCTATGCTTTTGATCTTCTGGAAAACACTAATTTAGGCCTAAGCAACTCAAAGGCAGAACGGCTAACATCTAAGGTGTGATACTCAGACGTCACCTCCACTAATAGGCTTCTGGCTCTTTCTGCAGCTTTCACAGTCCTGCGTCATTACGTTCGCAAAGCCCAGAACAAGACGATCACACAGAACTTAAGGCGGCCGCGCAGGCACAGTTAGACGACGAGGTAGGGAAAGTACCGCCAGATCGATCAGCCCCAACGGGGGCTCGACCACCGCCCCACCCCTATGAGTTTTTGACTTATGATGCACATGGTTAAAAATAACCCGCCGAAAATCCCCCGAGGGTCGAGGCAGCGATAAAAAAATCGATCAACACGAGACCGACTGGTGCGATGCGCCACTACTATTTCTGTTTAGTATATTTCACGCTTTGACAGTGGTGAGCCGACAAATCTTCCCAAAATCCTAACATTCCAATAAACCTGTTTCGACGACCACTTCTTATTTCCTACATCCTGCGCTAGACAATAGGTAAACTGCAATAGTTGCTTTCGTCCAAGTCATAAGAGTATTGTATTTCGTTGAGTGGCGCAAACGACCAGAAAAATTGACCGAGAGATAGGACCGAAGAAATGATATGGCTTACCCGGGATCTACTTTTACAGCACGGATAACCTGGCTCTTTTATTACGAAGAGTGCTATGTAAATACCAGTGAAATCCATTGTGTCGACAGTGGGAAGGAAAATCTTATTTCGCAAAGTCCTTTCTTCAAAAGAACGCGCGAATGAACTCAGAGGAAGGCGTCTAGAACAAGCGCTTTCACAGAGCTTTCCAAGTGCGAGAGTTCACCATTATTCCAAATTAGCGTTATTCAACACGAAGAAATTAAGGATATGGTGCAAGTTTGGAATATTCGTATGCACATTTGCTTCTGTCGGACGCTGATCTATAGACCTACGTCATACAGGCGGCCCCGCCATAGATTCCAGCGGCATACCTATTCCCGTGTCCAAAATTTGACCTTTACCCTCCTAGTCCTAACCCTAGTCCTCATAACACGCACATAACAGTAACCTTTATATAAATCTAGAATTTAGGCCAAGACCACCTGTAATGCAGACGTCTATATTCCCGTGCCTAAACCTTTTTTCTTGTACTTGCCGATGTGAAGTAGGTTTTATTGGTCATACAATTCTGTCAAAACGCTTGCGTCCACGAAAATCTGCGGAAGACAACCGCCAGTCAAACCACCTCATCACATCCTCCCTTGACAGCATCTCACCGCACATCAACACCCACCGTAGGCACCCAACTGACACCTCCAGCGCAAGCGGGAAGTGCGCATCTCGGCCCCTTCACCATGCGGCTCCCTTGCTGCATGTGAGGTCGGAATCTGAACCGAAGACGGAGTGTCTAAAGTCGTGTCTCGGAAGGCAGCCAACCGACGCCCCGATTCAGTTCGCGCAGTCTGCCCAGTTGCGTGTGTTTGTGTGGAGTGGCGGACTAGTGGGCTGAGAGCCTAGCTGTCACGACCCCTTCTCAAGCGATCTGTGACACTCTCATGCATGTGAGGAGTGTTTGTGTGTGTGTGTGTGTGCGCTTTATGGGTAGTGACTCTCAATCGACGACTGTTTGGTTACCCAAGGTTAAAGTGTGACGGCCCAGGCTAAATTCAGTGCCACTTGTCGTCCCCCTAAATCAAAAAGTCAGAAAGCGTGTGCTATGCCAGTATCAGCAAACGAGAACCTCGCAGCCTGGTATGTTATGGCAGTCCCCTGACACCTGGTTCGCCGCCGATAGATGAGCTTGCGCTCCCGCTTGGCATACAGGTGGTGGGCATGGCTGCTCAGTCATCCTCGTCTTGATTCCCAGAAGTCTAAAATGCAACCCCGCTCTGAGACTGGGTCAACACCCATCTAAGGCCGAGTAGCCAGTCAGTCATAGAGTGAGAGACACTACCCATGTTCACACACATGCTTCACGCTCATGGGACTGCTAGAGGTCACGTTAAGAAGGAGCTGTGACAGCCTGACTCTTGGCCCATCAGCCCACCACCCCTTACAGTCAGGCAGACTGCGTGGATTGAGTTAGGGCCTCAGTCATCAGCCTTCCAAGCCAGGGCGCTTAGCGCACCGTGATAATCTCAGACTCGGATCACACACGCAGCAGAAGAGCTGCTGTGGAGACTAAGCACTGAGGATGTATCTAGCGCGCCACAACAATCACGGCCCAGTCCCTCTTTAAGGGAGAAGTGGAAAGACACCAGTAGGAGTAGTATATTCAGTAAAGAAGCCTAGTGGCTTGAAGAGCCCGCGACACGGGGCCGGCTGTAGGCACGCGCACTTCCGTGTGTTAGGGTGACGTGAGCATGAGTAAGTAAGCGTCACGTAAGAGTCAGTGTCAATCTGGTCAGTTGATTGCGTGATAGTAGAGTTTGTGGACACTTGTGATTGGCTCTCCTCGGGGCTGAATGTGCGCACGTTCTGGCGCTCGGGGTCGTGATTGCATGACTCCTAGAGCGGCGTGGGTGCCAGGGGAAGAAGACTTGATTTCGTTTGAGGCGCTATACCGCACGGTGAAGGAGCCGAGAAACACACGTCCCACTGGCGTTATAGGTGGCAATCAATTGCTTGTTTTGGGCGGGGGTGTTGTGTGGTGCAGGCGCGGCGGGGAGGGCGCGGTAATGTAGTGTGGCCGGCGGTTGTCTACCGCATGCTTTCGGAATTACGCATATGACCTAACTGGCCTGTGCCTTGGCTGAATGTGCAAGGACAGTGGGGGCGGTTGAGGCGGATGCGACGTGTGAACCTTGGTGCTCAAGGCGCTGGTTCGCCAGTCTCTATGTGATGGATTAGTAAGTGACCGACCAGGCCTGTAGGTGATGTGAATGCGCGATCAAAATGAAGACAGGTATGAACGGAGTTCACATTGCTGGGGGTGGGACTACTGATGGTGAGGGTAACGGATGATGGGATGTCGGATGTTGTCCCATCGGCGAAGGGGGTGCGAGATGTCGTGGTGTTGGCGGAGCTGATCGCTGGGGTTGGGCAGGGCGGATGACGTTGATGGTTGGTGTCGACGGGACAGCGACAGTATGATCGGCGGTGAGGAGGGGGCCGTTGGGGAGAGTTTGCGGCAGGGGTGCGAGTTGGAGGAGAAATAGGCGTTGTCAGGCTGTTGGCGCACCACGTCCAAAGGTGTCCTACGAGGCGATTCGCGGGGAATGTGCGTAGGCATAACAGGAACCTTTGAAACGGCCGACTGTTAGCATTGAGGAGTCGAGGCGCTTGTGACTTGCGGGCTTCCCGTCTGGCTTCGGTGGCGGGGATTTGATTTGTTTCGTAAACGACTGTGCTAGTCTTAACTTGTCTTCTCCATGCCGGTCTGTTCTGGGCAAGGTCCTCCCAGGTTTCCGGGTTGATCTGCAGTCGTTTCAGAGAGCTTTTCAAAGTGTCCTTCAGAGTCGAAATTGAACTCGCTGCCGACGAATACCCGTGGCGACATCACCATAGGAGAGTTGTTTTGGTAGACGTGTATCTTTCATTCGTTCGAGGTGGTCGCTCCAAAGTAGTTTCAGTTGCCTTAACATGCCGTGAATACTGAGGATTCTGGCTCGTTCTATGATTTCCGTTTCGAGGATCTTGTTTTGCCATCTCAGCTTTAGTATTTTGCGACGGCAGCTGAGATGGAAGTGGTTGAGCTTCCTGGCATTGTTGGAGTAGACGATCCAGGTGTCCGCTCCGTACAGAGGTGTCGTCAGGACAACGGCCTTGTACGTCTTAACTTTTGTGTTCAGTTGAAGGCCTGGGCGACTTCACATGGAGTTCTGTAGTTAGCCAGAGACTTAACTGGTTTTAAAGATCTGGTGGGTCACTTTGTTGTCGATTCTTGTGCTGCCGGATTGTTTACTGCATAGGTAAGCGAAGTTTTCCATGATTGAGTTGGTTCCCGTTAACATGTATTCGAGGCGTAATACTGTGTTGAGTGTTGGATGGCGATAGGTGCATGACCACCGTTTTGTCCGTGTTGGTAGTCAGGCCGAGGTTGGCGCACCCGGCGTCGAGGAGGTCCATGCCCCATTGCTTTTCATCTCCGGTCATGATTTTCAGTGCACAGTCATCGCCGAAGAGGTCGTGAACGGTAGTCCTAGATAGTCGCGTGGGGAGATATGAATGCGCCAGATTTTGAGAGGATGTCCGTCAGTTCTGTGGGCGATGCGTATCCAGAGGCCGCTTATCAGGGGAGGCGTCCATCAGCATGGCAGAAAGAGGGTGGGAGCGGTACACAGCCCTGTTTCACTCTATTGCTCACTGTGAGTGCCTCGGAGGTTGCGCCAGTGTCCGTGACACGCGCCATCATACCGTCTTAGAGGTGACGCAACATGTGCGTGAATCGTTTAGCACAGTCGAATTTCCGCATGATTTTCACCAGTCCCTCGCTATTCACAGTATCGAAGGACTTCTTCACGTCCACGAAGGCAGTGTAGGGACGGATTCACATTTCCTGTAACTTCTCCCGTAACTGGCGAGCGGCATAGACCATGCCGGTGTGCCCCGGTGTCGTCAGAACCCACATTGGCTTTCCAACAGGAGTCCTTGTTCAAGGTGACCGTTGAGACGGCTGAGGCGAAGCCGAGCGAAGATCTTCATGACATTGTTGAGTAACGAGATGCCTCTGTTATTATCACAAAGTTTCCGGTTCCGTTTGCGCTTGTGGAGGTGAACAACGTTTGCGAACTTGAAATTTTAAATAACTTATCTACAGCTCTACATCATCTGAAACAGTGTCGTGAGTTGGTCCATCAGGCGCTGGCCGCCGTGCTTGCAAATGTCAGTTGGGGTTGCATCAAAGCCTAGCAGTTACCCGCTAGGGAGTTGTGGCACAACGCGAATGGTTTCTGGGAGGAGGGCGGGAGGTCCAGGACGATGTTAATTTCCACTTTGGAGAACCGGTCGATGACGGCATCGGAGATTGTGGAGGGGCGATTGAGGAAGCTTCTGAAGTGCTCGGCCCAGCGCTTCAAAATCTGCGACTTCTCCGTCAAAAACGTTAATCCATCGGACCTGGTCGAGGGACCGCAGATCACCTTGATTTCATCCATGAAATCCTTTGATACGCTGCGACTGGCGTACCCCTGGATCTCCTTGGCCTTGCGAGCCATACAGAAGTCCTGCATTCCTCGTAATCGTTGCCGCGTAAGGCGGCCACATTGGTGGAAGGCTGCTTTGTTCGCATCGGTTAGACAGCCGAGATCGGCTCTGTGTAGCCTGATCTTCTCGACGAACAAGTTGTTGATGGCTGCGTCTTTGTCGTCGAACCAGTCCTGGTGCTGGCTATGTGCGCGGCTGAGGACACCCAGGGCGGTAGAATGAACTGAGTCCCACATTTGGCACAATCACGTCTCCGCGGAGTCGTTTTCATCTGGGCCTTGTAGGTCTACTAGGCGCTGGGTCAGTTGACTGCCGAAGTGTAGAACAGGCAAATTCAACAGAAAACTATTTCACTTATCTGGTGGTCGCTTTCCTCGAGGTCTTCTGCGTAGCTGTAGGCGGAACCAGCCTACCCGCCTTCGACACAGTCGACAGGAGGGCGTTCGAGTCTTCGTGGAACTGTCTTTGCCTCGTCTGAGCCGGCCATTGGTGGGGCAAAAACTCTGATGATAGTGGCAAATCGGAATCCGCGAGGAGGCAGGCGGAGGCTCATCCGGCTGTCGTTGATGCTCTGCGGCAGACAAAGCAGTCGTTCCGGATTGCAAAGGCGACGCCCGCCTCTCGTCGCTCTGCCCTGGGGTGGGCGCTCCAGAAAAAGGTGTAGCTGGCACCCATCTCCTGCAGTTGGCTTGTTTCCTAGGACCGGATCTCGCTGAGTGAAACAATGTCCATCTGGTGGCGCGGCAGTTCTCGAGCCACTAGCGCCGTTCTTAGTTCCGGTCGGTTGCTCCGCGGATTGTCTAAAGAGGAAATGAACATTCCAGAGTGCCAGAGTGGGCGGAATCACTCTAATAGCCAGTAGAATGGGGCGGAGGGGGGAGAGGAGGAGGGGGAAGAGAGGGATTGTTGTTTCTCGTTTGATGGTTTTGACTGCAGTAATTGCAGACTGCGAACCACGGTCTGCGCGCAAATGTGTGATCTCAGCATTAGTTTACAGCACCTTTTATATCCCCCTCCACCGCCAGGGGGTTAACAGTGGTCTCCCTAAGTAGGGCTGCTTATTCGCCCCAGACGCCAGCCGCTTTCCACTATTGATCACTAGGTTTGGTGAGGATGACCAATGGCCTGGGCCGCCTACGTGACTGCATTTTGCCTTACCGCAGAACTTGTCGACCGTTGGGGAGGAGAATAGAGTAGGGGGTGGGGAATAGAGCGGGAGGAAAGGGGGAGTGGAGGGAGGGGAGGAGGGGCGGGAGTAGGGATGGGAGGGAAGGCGGCGTTGTCGGCTTTGATGACATCCACAGAACCGGATACCCTCAAACTGGTTTAGCCCGCCGGTCGAGGCGGTTACCGGGCTGTGGCCGCTAGGCAGTGCATAGCTTCGAGGAGCCGAAGGCAAAACGCACACACACGCACGCACGCACAATAACCATTTCGTCATCACCGTCGTTGGCGAACTTCACATGCATTTCATGCATGGATAATGGGCAACCTGCTAATCTGCAAATTACTGCAAGGCGCAGCCTGGTTCTGTGGTAAGTTAATGTGCGTGGGCAGTGCAAACACGAATTCAGGACGATATTTTAGTAATTGATGTTGTTTATGCATGAATGACTTAGTCAACTTCGCGGTGGCCGAATGTGACAGGAAAGTTGATGTAAAGAGTGTTTTATGTGGCTCCAGCTCTTCATTCTCAAATCTTCGAGCGATAAATTAGCTGGCATTGCGCTGGCAATTATGATGGCTGCCAACTTTGCCATGGATGTGTTTATATTTTTGTGACCATGAAGGCACCCGACCACGACGAATCGAAACGGAAGGTAATGGTACAGTCAGCAAAAGGTAGAGTAAGTCTCTCTAGGGGTTTTGCTGGTTGCTATGTGGCTGGCTCTATTGGCATTACGGCTGTGCCTAACAAAGCTAATGCATGCCCTGGGACGTGCAGTGGGGTCACGATATTCCAATACCGCGTACATTTCGTCGTGTCCTTACTCCCACTCTTCAGCGGACTTCGAAGACTGTCTCCCCAATTCTGATGACCGATCCTGCAAATGCGTTTTCATGTCCACGGTTAGTTTGAGGGCACTTTGAGAAACCACCAAAATACTATTCTATACCGCCGTTTTTGTCCAGCCCATTCGCGAGTACTCCTAACGACGTCCTCACAGATTGGTCGGTTCGGCGTGCGCCCATTTTCCCTCCTCACGTCCGTTTTGTCGTTGTTGGATTTGCCTGAGCTCGCCATAGATGCCTAACATTCCAGCTGACAGCAGGACTGTACTGTTTGGAAGTCGTTTACAACACTTCATCTCTCAAAGGCAGCATAATTAAAGGTGGTTCATTTTTCGCGTTTGACTTTCCTTGATTGTTCGGCTAGCCGACCTATAGGGCAGTGGTCCCCTGATGACAGCTTTGCAATTCAGAGTTTCGTCTTAAGAAAAATGTCAGGCTAATTCCAGACAGAATGTCCAAGGATATCACAGGGCTGACCGACTTCAACCATCCGCATTGCAACATTGCGCTCCATTTGGATTCATCGGTAAGATGCCGCTCGAGTCGTAACGGTGCGAAGAAATTAGCGTCGGCAGTTCTGGCACCGGTTGAAACAGTACAATCTATCTTTGGGGCGTTAGTCTTTAGTCGCATGAGAGAAGCACGCACTGGTCCATCCGGACTGCAGAGTGGAAGAAGGCATTTCCGCCCTGCTTTGAAGGTAAGCGTCTGCGGTCAACTCGGGCGGTAACAACACGACTAGCAGTCAATAAGTGAGATATTTTGCCGACAAAGATAGGGACACCAAAATGGACATTTCTGGCTTTTCCATGGCCATCATCTAGTCGTAACTCGATCTCCGCATGCACATCTGAGATTTGAACTCCGAGTGAGTTGGTTATCGCGTAACGTTCTCATTTCGTTTTGCCCGAATTCCCATTTCAATTCAGCCGGGTTCAGTGCCGTAACTTCAAGCTTCGTCAGTATGTTCTTCTCATTGGGGCTGTCGCTATGGCTGGTTGTCGGCCATATGTAGGCATCGCGCCAAAAACCCTGCATTCTACACAAGCATTAAAAAATTTCAACTTATTGAAGGATGCAGGTAAAGCTTCTTCCTCCCCCATGCACACATTCTGATAGTTTGACGCTCGTCTTCACCTCACCTGAAATCAGGACTCTGGTATCGCAGACGCGGTGAAAAAAGTGTGAGGTCAATCCCTGCTTCTGAGTTTGGCATACTTGTGCTCGTCGCTCCTCATGCAGTCGGATTCTGATGACTACAGGGGTGCACTTAGCTGCTAGCGGTTTGCTCTTGTGTAAGCCAATCACCACGTCTCCAACACAGGTCTGAGCACATGTGGTCTCAAAATAGTCATTCCTCTTTCCTACGTCTTCGAATCTCCCGTGCTGGGCCATATTTAACAAGATATGTTCCACCAGCTGCTTTGTGAAATCGTTAAAACTGCTCCTTGCTGTCATTTGCCCCTCAGGGTGACCCAAAAATGGCTCTAGGTGTCAGACCACGTCATTCTGTGCATGCGTCTGAAAAGTGATCGGCAAGCCGAAGGCTAAACGTTTCAATGTCAATTCCGGCTGCATCAATAGACTGCAATCTGATTCGAGAAATGCGAAGATTTTTCGGCAATGAACGAACAATATCGATTGGCGGGGGTTACAAAGACACCAACTTTGAAGTGTGAGCCACGAGTAGGCCCAGGTACGACAGTCCGGCTATCTTGACCGACGACGTCCACCGTGTGCACCACGGCAGGGTGAAAGGAGGCGTGGGGACTTGTGCAACACCTACCTCACTCTCTTCTCTCCCCTGATCCCGGTGTCTTGACCAAGTCAAGAAAATCAAGGGCAAGAAAGAGCCTAGGTGGCTGCCACGGCCGACCCGCACCTAGGCATGCCATCACACCCCTAGTCCATAATGAACACTTGACCAGGGTTTGGCCAACAGTAAAAGCAACGGCCGGCGCGTCCGAAGCTGCCTCAAGGCGTGTCGTCACACGCCGCTCGGGACTCAATAGGTGGGAGTGCCATAAAGGCCACATTAAGAAGTAGTCATTGCAGTCTGACTCTCAGATCACCAGTCCGCCATCCCGCACCAACACGCTGGGCTGTCTGCGAGGTCTAAGTTATCCCGTCAATTGACAACCCTCCAAGTCACAGGCTTTAACGCACCGTGATAACTTTATGTGCGTCAGATTGCTTATAGTGAGGAAGATGCGCTAAGTCGCCGATTTTACTCTCTGTTCTCGTTCGCAGACCCCAGCTACTGCCCGGAGCTGTTCTGTCGTCCGGTGTGAGGAATGGAGGACCAGGTAACCACGTTGACGATAACTCCTTCCAGAAAACATGAAAGTCGGTAAAAGCGAGAAAGTGCAAGTACAACCTCCAGACAGCAGGTCCCAAGCATTGACGAGCAAAGCATCCATCATATCCATCCCAGTCCTGCAATAATCCGTTATGTTTGCGATGCAGGTGCCGACTTCATCGTTATCAGAGCTAACCAGAGCACTGGGAAACCAACATTTTTGACAACAAAATGGAAGGGCGAGCTCCAGCAGGCAGATAGGAAGGGCACTCGATTGTCGAAACAAGCGTCTCATCCGACTGACATCTGAGACTCACGTTCGGGCCCATAACCCGGACGGGTAACGAAGGTAATGGAAACACAAAGGGCCTAGACTTTATAGGATGCTGTGGCTAGGCCGCCGCACAAACTAAAACGAGCAACCAACGTATTAATTACAGATGTTCGTGTTCGCCCGCATCCGAGTCATGGAAGACCACGATTTCATCATTAGTATCCGAGTTGGACACACAAATACTGCCACTGCGAACGGCGCTCACTCCTGCGCTTCCGACGGACTAATTATTCCTACCAGAGAAAGCCGAAGTGCTGAATAAGGAGGAGGCGAATTATTCTGTTTTTTTAATGGATTACAGGCAGAAAAACCATGACTCAAAAGACTGACACCTAACGCGGTCATCGCCCTTAGCGAAAATGCCGACCTAGATGAACTCAAGGACGCGGCCGGTTCCCGTTGGACTAAACGCGACTCGAGAGTTGACAATATTTCCCCTCGATGCCGCTGCATGCTTGGTCATCCGCGTCCAGAGTAATATCCAGTTTCACTGGCGTACTTTCCCTTCTCACAACTGCAGCAGATGTGCCAAACGACTCCAAGCATTTCCAGTTTTGGCAACCAGTCTTTCGGCCCCCTCAGATAGCGCG